AATGCTGGTAAGTTAGCCAAGCAAGTGTGTGCCTTCTGCCATTATATTTCTTTCCAGGGCAAGAATCAGAATTTGGCAGAGATGCTAAGGATTTTGAATGCCCTGGAGGAAATGGACATACCTGCTCTCAAATTCTATTTCGTGCCAGTAATGAGGAGATTCATATTTTATGTCTTTGGAAAGGGAGCTTCTTTTAGCCAAAGAAGTGTGCCTAGAATGTGGATTAATACTTCAGTCTCAAGAAGCAGCAATACATGAAGTTATAGAAGCAGCAGTTATAAAAGAAGTTTCAAAGGCTACACAGATGAAATAAAATACTCTGAAAATGAAACCAAGTATTAATAATTACTGAATCAAATCACTGAACTATTTATAAGTAAAAATTTTGTTAAAACATTTATTGTCCATAGAAACAAAATTTACATTGATTTTATATAAACTATGTTAAACATACATATAAACATACCTACATCTTAATATATACTTATGAATGACACTTTTAGATATGGGATAGCATTGTCCAAAGCACCATTGTGGACTCCGAAGACTACAGACGTAAAATGCATTTGCATTTAACTCCATCTTCAGTAGTTTAAAAACGTCACTTCTTATCCACACTCAGAAATAGTTACATGAAAGGTTTCTAATATTGTGTTTGCGTGTGTACATACACACATCAGATGGTCCTCGTGAATCTACAGTATAGATAAGGTCAACATTAAGATATTCCTTAGAAGCAGACACTAGTCCACATCCTCATTCAACTGGGGAAAAACAAACCCTATTCTTCAAACAAAACAATGAGACTTTTTTTATTCCATGAGGAGCATACGCGAACAACAACTGTTTCCACCCTGTCTCTTCCCTCAACAATAAAGGCATAAGAGAAGCCAGTCACAAAATAAAAGCCATCTACTACATTATTTACAGAAAATGAAATATTAAAAAGACAATGAGATTTAGACTGCTTAGACAAATTCAGAGCAACGAACAGTGAACAGAAGAAAACTGCATTAAAGTGGCAGGCAGCACTGAACTATAAACCACATGGCTCAAAAACCCCTCCAACAGCAAAAACCATCAGGGACAGAAGGAAGGGGCAGGTGTAACAACAACAGTTTTCTCTGATATTAACACTGAAAATTTATGCTCACCAAGCTTGAAACAGAATACACAAGTGTTCATCACTGTCCTTAAGGTCTATTAAAAAGTCAAGTGTTAAAAGTAGGCTTTCAAAGACCTTGAAATGGCTTTTTTTTTTTTAAGAAAAAAAAGTTTCCTTTGTAAGGAGGTTGAAGAATCTCCTGTTCTCAAACCCTGCAGCAATGGAATTAAGTGTGTGAAGGGCCACAGTTATGCGCAGAAACATCCATTTTGTTTCCAGATTCATCAGGATGCAAGTCTGAAGTCTCTTTTAGAGCTCTCCCATAGATAACTTTGTAGATGGCTGTTCAATGTATTATTTAAAGAAAGGCAAGAGGCATGTTTCTAGAAAGCATGGAAAAAGATCCCTTTGAAAAGCAAGGAAATTAAAGATCTTCAATATACAGTCTTCTAAGGTGAATACTAAGAAATCAAGTCTTTCTTTGCTATAATCTTTAATAATCTTCTCCAAGCAACTCTCATTATCAGTTTCCAAGACATGGCAGAAAATTACTTTTCAATGCATAACAAGCAAGTTTTGCGAACTCTGCCTTTTTTTAATGCCACAAAAATGTGATCTTGGTTTTTTGTTTTGTATTTAAAGCGACTAAGTTCATATAAAGAAAATTCAGCATTTCACCTTGAGGCCCTGGAAGAGAAGGCAGCAGGCAAACCATTACCACCACTGGCGATCAGCTGAATTTACTCCCATCCTCTATCAGTTACCTGAGTTGAGACAGTGATGTCCAGGCCTTGAGACCATCTGAATCCATCAGGTAAGGTGATTTTCAACACGTAAGTAATTATTAGAGTTAAGGCAGGCTTGTAGAAGCCCTGCAATGTGTTGCTTCTTACTAGCCCCAGAATTTTGTTAACCTTGTGATCTCAATCATCACAAAGTTTAAAATGAGGATTCTAACCTATCTATGCAGAGATTAAATGGATCAGCAATATAAATGCTAACATCACAACAACTTATTATTTCAGACACTTACAAGGAAGACTCTTAAGTCATATTAAACCCATTGCCTTTTAGATAGCAATTTAAGAAAACAATTTCACATGTGAACAATTGAGAATATTACATGAGCATTTAACAGTCATTTCAAGTCAACCAAAAAAAGGCAATTCACATTTATATTTTCAAAGTATAAAACAGAAAGCTAGAAAACTCTTAAACAATCACATTTTTAACTTGGCCTTCCAGTGCAAATGCAGTGACAGGCTTAACTAATACAAGAGACGCTGTTTTCCTTCTGACGCTGAGGCTTACACACATTTGAAGTAAGTGGTTATTTTAACAACTGTTACCAATCCATCCTCCCATTAGAAACAATGCAGTAATTAGGGTGTTGCTTCAGTCTTTGGACAGGTGTTTTCTACAATGCAGTCACAGTACAGAAAGGCACCAAGTTATTCAAGTAAATTGACCTTTCTTATGCTTAACACTTTTTCTTGTGCCTTCACAACCCCATCAGTAACTTCAATATATTGTTCTCAACCAAACATTATATTCCAGTACAACAGAACTTTTCTGTGCCAGAAGAATAAATAAGCCGGTTTGTGTATGAGTATATAGACTCAAGTTTCTGTAATTCACAAAGATAAATGCACAAAACTATGTCTCACACCGATAACACCACACAGTAGATGCCTCTAGCACCTAAGCCAGTCACAGAATTCCATTTTCTGTATGAATTTTATAAAAGATAGTAAGTTTTATCATAACAGAATCCTAAATTGAATAGGGAAGTCATTTCAGCAAATGGTATTACCTTAAATAAAAGCTAAAGCAACTGAAACAGTGACTACATTTCATCGTATGACATTCATCTTGGGACCAAGCATAGGCAATGGAAAAAAGAAAGTCAGTAAACATGCAAAAAAACCCCTATTGCAATACATTGCTCAGAGTTATAGAAATAAAAAAAATACAAATCTAAACTGTTGAAGTACAAAACAAATTAGAGATATCTCGTCATGCACAGGTAAACTGAGCAAGCACAAAATCAGAGGAGCCAGTCACGCTTCTAAACCTGGTTAAAGCAGCATTAACTGACTGAAGTCTGACTACATCAGCATTACTTCCAAACAGTGTTAGCAAAGCTGCCATGGCAGAAGTTTCTTCATGTATCCACTTTTCCCATTTGCTCCAGTTCTCTTCCAGGCTTTAGTGAGAACACTGCAGGAAGCTTCCAGAAACAGCAGTATCCTGTTGAGTAAGACAATACAGCTTCAGTAGTTTGTCCTATTTCATATCTGGTTTCACTTCTCACACGTTTTAAGAGTGCTTTCAGGAGCAGTGTGAATAGCTCATCGGCTCGAGGGTAAACCTGCCCTCATCTGCAGGGATACATGCAGCACCCCTTGGCCAGCAGCTGCTCAACTGCAGCTACTCCACATTTGCTTTGGGTTGACTCACTAAACCTGTTGTTTCAATTCCTTATTTTCATCTCCAGTACATCTACACGGGATGATTTCACCAGATAATTCACTGACAGCAGAAGTAAATAAGTATTCTCTTATCTGCAGAAAGTTGCCTGTCTCTATTTCACCAGGGAATTTCTTTCCTTTAGCTTCCCATTTTGTTTATGCATGTCAAAGTTTCTGAAAAACTACTTGAATCACTCATGATTGTTATTGAAACTGAAAACTTGGGTTTTAGAAACAAACCATCTGCTGTCATTGTTGAATTATCATAACATCAAATGTGGCACACCTTCCTGCTTGCTCATTCCCTATGAGCACTAAGCAGTACACCCCATGAACTGCAGATTTTAAGTGACACTATTTTAGCTGTTCTGAGCCATGCCTACACTTTCAAATAGTCTCTCTACCGAAGGCATTGTGGAAAAAACATTACAAAAAGCATGGAGAAATCACATCCTGACTTTCCACCCAAAAATGGCATTTCCTTTTCTCTGAATATACCTCTACTCAGTATTAGAAGTCTGACTTACTATCCACAACAGAGGCCAGAGCCTGCGTTCTATGTGGCTAACAGTGTCTTGGAAATGACAGAAATATATTGGCCTGCATATATTGTGGATGTGGTGAGCAACTGCTTTCTTAAATAAGAGCATCTCTGAGAACTACTTGCTATGCATCTTTAATTTACCTGCAATAAAGTCCGACCAAATCTGTAATATATACACACAACCCTATCATACATTATATATTAAGGCAAAGGCTATAAACAGGAAATAAGCACAATATTGTTTATAGCCGCTTATAAAACATATCAAGCTATTTGAGTTTTGCATACAGCACAACAATATTGCAGTATAGTAAACTTCAGAGAATTACTGGGATATTGGACAAAATTACAATCTAGCTGCATTTAAACCGGTTTAAATTATGAACAGCTTTGTTAGAAGACATGCTTATGAAAAACTTACGTTTTTTGTTTTTCTTGTAATTAAATACTTCAGGCCCAAATTTCAGAATCCAGGAAATCACCAAGTCATTTATGATGAAAAAGATTAGAGAACACGTGGCTTGGTCAAGAATGTCATACACCAAAAAACATGAGAGAGAGTAATTTTGAACACAGACCAACTAATCCTCTAACCAACCCAAGCATGCTTTCAGTGCAGTTTTAAGCTACTGCTACAGTACATTACATACCTGCCTGTTACCATTCATTTTAATCAAATACTGAAAGTTGTCCCAACATTCTAACAATTTACAAATGTACATACACATCAGAAATCCAAGTATATCATTAAACTAAAATAAAGTAATACAAAATATTGTTTTACAGAAATGACTGAACAGAGGTGTAAAATCTATTGCACAACCTAAAAGGTCATTACTTGGAAAATCCTGAGCTAATGTGCTATTACCAAACAATTCAGGCACTTTTTTTTTTTACTTTTTTGTTTTTATTACATAAGCAATAAACTTTCAACATATAAACTTCTGGGTATAACAACTCCAGTTCCATCTGTAACATCATGCTTAGAGAAAAAGTATTTAATAAATAAGACTCCCTTCAATGACTTCTTTACTTGAGACTGGTATGCAAAAGGAACTAACGGTACATACTACAATGTTTCAGTTGAATACTGTACTTTAAAAGCAATTATTAAAACTGTAAAAAAGTTCTGCAGCATTCCACTACTGAAAAATAAAGTTATTTTTTAATCAAGAAAGTTACAGGGTTAGTTCCTTTATGCTATTTTAAGTCTCCACAAAGTTGTCAAAAAATGAACAGATGCTCCCTTTGCTGCGTTATCTGTTTCAGCTTCAGCATCACAGCTCAGTTCAGGTTTCTGTTGCAATATTTAAATTTCCCTACAAACAAACAAAAAAAATCATTATTGCCAAGTTGTAGCAGTAGAAAAAAGCCCTCCAACTTTCACAGATGTTCTAATATTGTATTATTATAATATGTAGCACACAAGATTCTTTCAGTTATGGATTGAAACAGCAAAACTGTAGAGATGATACCTTAAAGGATGCCTCTGCATAATTATTTCCAAAGGGTGAAATAAAGATATTCAAACCAGTTTAACAAATCTCAAGGACAAGTTTAATCATTACAATAGGCAAAATATGGGAAACGCAAGAATCTGAGGAACAGTTTTGGTTTTTTATAAATTAGCAATCAGTATGCTGTTAAGAAAATGGCTGTCAAAGTAAAACAAATTCAGAAGAAAAAGTAACTCAAAAGATACTCATGTTCTTCATCAGGCCTAAAAATCAATATTCAGATCCCATTATGCTTATCTAATTCAAATCATAATCTCCAGCAGCCAGATTGTATTAAGCATGCTTTATAGGTTCCAGACAAGAACCCTAATATCCAATTATAGAGCAGCATTGGAAATTACTACAACAACATTATGGCACTTCTATGCCTATTTTACAAAGTCCTTTTCTTTTGGAAAAAAATCCTTCTCTATTTTCCACAAATTCCAATTCACTTCAGCCTTCAGAGCTCATACTTCTCAGAGTCCATGCAAATGTAAAAGGCATTAACCAGTATATTTCAGTAACAAGTGACTCATTTTAGTTGTGCTAATGTGTTTGGTTTTCTTTCTTGTTTGTTTGTGGGGAGTTTGTTTGGTTTTGGTGGGGTTTTTTTGTGTTTTGCTCCCCCCCTCACAGACTGGACTGTAAACTTGAGCTGTTTTGAAAATGATTCTAAGAACCACACTCTTAACTAGAAACACGCAAGTGTATTTACTTGTAGCTCAGTGGACACAGTTACAAAACAAACAAGAATTCGCACAGGAGCACAGAACTGCAAGGGGCTGTGTAGGTCATCTAATCCAATTCTCCAATGTCACAAGTATCCTCATACTACTTTGATCACACTTGATCAATTCTAATAAAGGATTGAGAATGTTTTAACTACTGATCCTCACAAAAGCTGTAACATTTTAGGTTCAGAAGTTCTTCTGCAGTTCAAGATTATCACTGTCCCATACACACCGCAAATCAAAAGGTATCACAAAACAGATGTGCCTAATTATTTCAGCTTCAGTTTATCAAACCATTTTACACAGACATTATGTAGTATAGGATGCTTTCTTCAGCACTCCAGTGTGTACTTTAAAGCACATGGTTAATTTAAGGTAACAACGAAGAGGAGAAACACACAGATTTAATTAAAAAAAATTAGTGATACCCTTCACATTGATTTAAAACCATAGCTTAAGAGAACATCAGATTTTTATACAGAGGGCCACTTTCTCTTCTTATCAATAGGAAAAGAAACCAACTGAGCTCAAGGAGAGAATACTGAAACAGAGGCAACAGCCAAATCTCAGAGGCCATCTCTGATTTGCAATTACCCCAAGCAAGTTTCAGCAAGTTTCCATGGAATAAACACGGAGGAAACAAGAGTGCAGAATCAGGTTTGCCTGTAAAGTACAAAGAGCCCGTATTCCAGAAAATCCCATCCAAGTTGTTGCATGGGGATTTACAAATTGGAATGAATACCATATGAATATTCGTATTTTATAAATGGCTTGGTGAAAAATAAATTAAGCCAACTTACCTTTTCTTTCCTCAAAAATCCATCTCTGAATTTGTTAGTGGTAAATCCCCTTACACCAACAGAACGTAACCGCTGGTACTTAGCCTGAATATATAAACCCTTCTGTACTAAGCCTGATTTATAATGGGATTGCAAACGGCCATCTGCAAAGTTGTGTGCAAAATGAGGAAAACAAAACTCAATACTTTATATTTACAAACATGTAAAACAGTACTGAACAACAGAAGTGTGCATTTGCAAGTGCCGAGCCTCTTCCTTTATATCCTATTTAATATTCCTCAGACCACCAGCTACCATGTGGCTCAAAGAACTGCTGTACTATACTTAGTTTCAGGTCTTTTAAACTGTCTTCCTCATTGAAAAAAGTAAATGTATTGTACAACATTTTAACTTTTTTTTTTCAAACTTTAATTAAAGTAAACAAGTATCAATGAAAAAAGTTTAAGATCCTTCCTCACTACTGCCAACAAATTCAGTGATGTCAGGCCTGCAGCGGGCATACATGGTAGGTCTAAAAGACATACTAAACAGAAGTCAGTAAATAAATTTTTCTTATAGTTTTAAGATCTTGTGGTCTGAACATATGTTGATTTCTCTATGCCTCTGTCACCTCCCAACAGGAAAACTCTGTGGGCCCAGAAGCAGAGGCCACAGAGATAACAAAAGGCTTACAGGTAAATGGCATTATGAATACACAGAAATAATTGAGATCAACACTGACCACAGCAGCTATATAAAAAGATTTTCATTCCCAAGCGCTCAGACCTCTGATAAAAAACAGTCTCATTTTGACAGAGTGAGGATCACTTCAGGAAAAAAAAAAAAAAATCACATGCTGTGAGGCTGCAGTAAGTCTGGTACCAGTTTTTCCGTTGCATTTTTCACTGTGTGGCTGGTGAACAGCTAAGAAAGGGCTGTGCAGAACAGAGGTTCCTTTATGCAAATGCAGAGGTTTTGTTATTTCTCAAATCATTTCACCCACCTACTATGTAGGAAATAACTGAGAAGCTGGCCCCATCAGTCCCCCAAGGTTACTCTTACGGTGCTTGTAGGCAGAGGACACTTGCAGAAGAGAATTCAGTGCTAACCCCTTTCCTGAAGAGTACCAGAGTCCAGGGACAATATAACTAAGTGCAAGTAAATTCTTTCAGAAGGTATATGCCTTCCATAGGGAAAACTGAAGGACATTTTTAATGCTGTGTTAAGCCCCTGAACACAGTTAAGATTAAGAGTTCCCATTTCTACCACAGCTACTGTGGTTCTCTGCTTTGAAAGAAGGCCTTAGTGGCCTGCCACTGCATTTCTACAAGCAGCAGCAAAGGAACAGACCAAATAAGAGAGGGGGAGAAAAGGTACAAGATATTGAAAAGGAGATTACACAGAGCTTAGAAGTTTCAACTCAAGTATTAACATGTTCCCTTAGTGGGGAGGGAGGGGAATAGCAGTATTATTAATGTAGAACAGAATCAGCTGTATACAAAGCTAACAGATTACATATATATACATATTTGGTAAGTGGGCACTGCAGTCATATATAGCTTAGAGCAAAGTGAGGTAATTTAAGGTGCATGGAAAACATCTTTAACTTCTAGTCTAAAGCAAGGAAAAAATCTGCTAAAGTGACATCTAGTTTTATGTTAAGACTATTTTATAAATAAAAGTAATGTCAATGCCTATGAACCAATGACCCCAAGCTCTGAAATAAGTCTATATGAACAAACACATCATTGCACTGGGTCTGGCTGGGATGGAGTAAGTTTTCTTCCCAGCAGCCCACATGGTGCCATGTTTTGGATCTGTGACTAAAGCAGCACCGGTTACACACCCGTGTTTTGGCTGTTGCTGAGCAGTACCCGCACAGCGCCAAGGCCTTCCCTGCTTCCCCTGCTCTGCCCCCCAGTAAGTAGGCTGGGGTGGGCAAGAAGCTGGGAGGGGATACACAGCCAGGACAGCTGCCTCAAGCTGACCAAAGGGATATTCCCTGCCATATAGCCCCCTGCTCAGCAGCAGAAACTGCGGGGAAGGGGCTTTGGAGGAGGCAGCTGTTGCTTGGGGACCAGCTGGGCATCAGTCAGCTTGTGGGAGGTGGTGACTGACTGCCTTTGCATCACTTTTTTCTTCCTCTTTTCTTCACTTCAACTGTCTTCATCTCAACCCATGAGTTTTCTCACTTTCGCTCTCCACATTCTCTCTCCCACCCTGCTGGGGAAGGAGGAGAGAGTGGGCAAGCAGCTGCGTGGTGCTTAGCTGCTGGCCAGGGTGAACCCACCACAGCCAGGAATACACCAAACTATGTAAAACATGAAGTTTACGTTGAATGAAGTTTAGTTCTAAAGATTGCTGTGCGTGTACCCACTTAAAGGTTGGTTTAGTGATTCATGCAAAGTGTCATTACAAAAAAATGACCTTTAAAGTTTTATAAAATTTCTACAGAGCCTTTATAAAACTGCTATTCTAAACTATCTTACTTTTTTCCCCAAAAAGTTTAACATACTGCATGAACATATGGGTTTTTTAATACTCTAAATAAACCCTCTCTTTTGCTTAAGTTAAGATGCCCCCATTTCATATACCAAGAAGAAATGTGTCAGGGTTTGGGATGGTTTTTTTGGCAGAGGGGTGGTGAATGGCAGAGAATAGAATTGTGTGTGTGGTTTTTTTGGAGGAGTGAGTTTGTTTGTATACTTGGTTTTTAAATAAATCAGCCAAGAAAGTCTGCTGAGTATAGAAGATAGTCAAATCATCCTCCTAAGCAGGTTTCAGCAACAGCATGGGAAGGAAAAACCCTCTATGTTACACAGGGGGAAATTAAATGTAAAAAAAAAAAGTCAAATCAGCACTGCTGTTTCCATGGCAATTATAAATGTGCTATACACATATGCAAACTGCAATATGAGTGCATATGCTATTTCCCCTACAAATATTAAAGCACCATGGGACAGAACATTGGCTGCAGCAATATATTCCACCAATATTCATGAATACATGTGATGACAACTTAAGTGGACACTTTCATGCTTGGATGATTCCCAGAGCTGTAGGCTGATGTAAATGAAGGCAGCCTTCCAGCTACCAACACTGCCTCTGTGATCTGTCAGCCAGTGCTGAAGATCCCCTGTCCCCTAATGGCTGACAATACAGAGGTGATGCTGATCAAGAGGCTATGATGTCTAGAGATGTCAAATAGTTATATCAGGTTAACCCTTTAAACTTGTTAACTTCAGCTTGGAAAAAAACTTTTGTTTTCCAGCAAAATAAAGTTAACATTTTTTTGCTAGTGTTAGCTTAGCCATCTTAAGCACACCTAAATGGGAGATCCTGAAAGCCTTTTTATCCAGCAGTTCTCTTATGTTTAGTCTGAGGTGGGGGGGGGAAGAACCAAAACACACCACACAACTGAACAAAACACCCCGTATCTACACTGCCCCCCCTTCAATAAGTCATCCAAAGATGCCAGCTACTGAACTTAGCCATCAAAACTTTACTTCAACTTCACTATCTACAAAAGAGGACAGATGACTACCTATTCTGTGTGTTATTTTACTCTTGAGAACACACCTGCTAAATAAGTAGGGGTAATTTTAAGGAAGAAGATAAGTTGTTCTAGATTTTATGATTACTTTTCTAATATAAAGAACTCTAAGTGGATCCATACATAGCACGCCACTGTCAGCAGAAAAGGAGGAAGGTAGGTTTTGTTTTTCTGCTGAAC